GGTGCGGAGAAGGAAGCACATGAACACAGAATTGCTCTACATGAAACCCAAAGACCACCAATCTGTGTACCACATTCCAGGCTGACATTTTTCAGTCTGTGAATCTCTGGAACATGTGGGAAAGCTGCCCTGGTATACCAGATGGATTTAGGTCTGCAGGCCTGCCTACATTTCAGTTCTCACACTCAACAACTTTGCTAACAAGTCAAATGAGGAACAGAACTGTATCTTTTAACAGTCTCAGTGAATTGCCCCCAAACTAACATAATTACTGTTTACTCGAGTCCCTTGTAACTATCAAGTCTTTAAGCTGATTTTGCTCTGAGCATCTACCTTAAACAGTCACAAGACATCATTTCTCTTGCTGAAAAGCCTGTTCAAGTGGTTCTTGACTTGCCCCACCCATATTTGTAAGGTCACTATTCTCTTAATCGTGCTGGTGCACATGCCAGCAAACCTATGGTATAAATATAATGATTAAAAATATTCAGGTTAAATAAAACAATTACATATTACCACTCTTTAAAACTTTTTCTTCTTTTAAGCCAAATCATTGCTATGATCCAGTTGACAACGTAACCATCCAAACAGTTCTGCTTGTACAACCAAAGGAGTGGTAAACTGCAATTGTAGCAGGAAACTGCAGCAGTCTTTTAAAGTGGTTTTACCAACAGAGAAAACAGAATTTCAAACTATACTCTTATAATAATTTGGGTGTCTCTGTATGGGAATATTCAGAGAAACTAAAATGAGTTCATTACATTTGCTATTTCAACGTACAATTCAAGTATATTAAACTTCATCTCAAAATCTCTTATCTAGGAATAAACAATCTAATTAAACTTGTTTAAATTTGAATTTATTCAAGAAAATTAGTCAGAAAATTAATTGAACAGTAAAAAGACTTTCTTACTTTCAAATAAAAGTAAACATGTCTGGCATTTTTCAGGGAAACAGTTGATGTGATCTAAGCCTACTCATATCTAAATCTGAATGAATTTTAAGTGTCATTAGGTCGTAAGTGGGTTAAGCTAGTAAAAGGCAAAGCCATGCTACTTTTGAAGGGAGTAGCCATACAGAAATCTATTGTCCTTTAATTTACACAGAATTACTTCATAATATTTACTGAATCATATAATTTATCTATGTATTCTTATTTAGAATCTTAGTTAATTAAAATCTGACAATGGATGGGGGAGGGAACTTTTGGTTAGAATCTTTTTGGTCAAATTATCCTTATCAAATCACAGTCTTCTGTAAGACATACCAGAATTCAAGCAAATTTGTGTTAGTGAATTGTCTCTCTCTTTCAAAAACTGACTTCAGAATAACACCACCTGTTATTACCTGTTTTTCATACAAGTTCTGGTATGCAGTAGCTTTAGGCATCATGTTATAAAACAAGAAAGTAAATGCACTGTTTTGAAATCCTGCACAACTCAGCCGGTTTTTGGTGACATTCAACCCAGTCTCAGTCTAGGAAGATCCACAAGAACATTTTCCCTATTCTATCCCACAGATTTTTCTCATTTTCAGAATTTCTCCTGCCCTCATTTTTAGACAGAAAGGCATCTTAAGAAATAAAAGTATGTAAAAAATATTTGCTTTAGAGAAACTGTTTCCCAGCTTACAGGCCTCACTGTATTTCTTCCAGCCTCACAGACTGTAACACTTTCAAGACAGTCCACGTAATTAAGTATTCTTCTCTTTAGTTTTGACAACGTATTATGTTCTCTGAGCTTAACTTGAAAGCTATAAAGAGCTGTGTTAAAATCAAATGGTTTACAAACATACAGTACAAAGTACCGTACCTCCTGAAATACTTTGCAGAATTTTGTCACAATGTAACTGCGACAAATATAAATATGTAAAATATCCCATATTTAAAGTATCCTCTGACCTCTTTTTTGTCTAAAGCTGCATATTCAGCTTCAATGCTTTCAGCTTCAGGATCACGTGAAAATACCATTCGAGATTCCAGGTTAAGAGCCAGCTCTTTGTGGTGTTGTTTCTCTGCACAGTCACATGGGGTATCTTTATTTTCATTTTCTGCAAACAAATCTCCACCATGTTTTACTAGAAGCTGCAAAGTAAAACAGCAAAGTAAACAGTTATTAATTACCAACTCTAATAATACCCCGAAGAAAATACATGTCAGTTAAGAAGAAAACAAAAAAATATGAACAAGGAAAACAGAATGAAGAGACAAAGTTAATAGCAATGGTCTTTGGGAAACAAACATTCTCTATTGTTATTAAACAAATTACTGCTTGATTTCATACATAATTATACCTATACCCACTGTAATTCCATGGAACCACAAAATCTCAGATATATGTTACAAGGCAACACCGTACAATATGTCTCTGTTAGGTTTTAAACACTAAAATTCTGCTCTACTGATATGGTCAGTGCTCCATAGAAAATGAGGGGCCTGAGGTCCCTGGCAAGATGGAGCTAGAAACGCCTTTAAGTATTCTTTATATATGGTTATAACTCCACCATTCTTCCCAGCACTGGTACACTGGTGGCGACAGAAAATGGAAGATTCCTTGGGTAGGGGGGAAGATGGGGTACGAACTCACAGAGAGGACATAATACTACTGGTAGCTCTAACTTACTTTTGAGACATGAGAAAAGGGAAATAAAATAATGTGAATTCTAATATGGTCTAGTACTGTGCCATTTCACCAACCTTGTCTTGCCAGTAACCACCCAGAAATGCAGACTCTAGCTAATAAACACTAATTGTGCTGCTCTCATTACCTTGCCAACCTTGCCTCCTGCTATAAACTGATCTAAGCAAGGACAACAAATGTCACAGATTTTAAAGGCCAACAGTGCACTATTTTGCTGATTTACTATTACATCTTTATAACACGTGCTAAACTTCTAATGATGGAGCATCCAGGACAATCGTTCACTACTAAAATGATTCACCTTATTTCTAAATAAAACTAAAATCTATAAACATCATCTTGCCTTCAGACCACAATGGCGGTAACAACACTATCCTGTATTTTTAGCCAGGATATTTCAAAATACAGCTTCTAATTTTTGTACTTCTAAAAAAAATAAAATTTCCCCAAAATGATCTGTTCTCCATATAAACCTTTTAGATCATCATCAGTCACTTCTTACTTTTCAGCAGATTGCATTTCCCTCACTTGTCACTGTAAAATACAGAATGCATTTTATAAATCTGGAATCATTCTTGTAGACTCTTTGGAAACTTCTCCCACATCCCGCAAAATAAAAAGAAATGCAAACACACAAATACTATGAACAAGTGTAATAACAAGATTTACTTTAGAAGATATTAGTGTCAGTAAGTATGACACCATATTTTATCTTCATAGCAGAGTATCAGGCAGAAATAAAGATAATACTAGGATAATTATGAAGATACCCAGCGAACAGTTACCTTTTTCTAGCTAAACTTCTTAACATTGCCAAAACTTTGTTAATTTGAGTTTCACATTCTGCACGTACATTTTAAACTCTAACAGAAATTTACCTGAGGCAACTAAGACACCTTCTGAGGAACAAAAATAATAAATATACTGGAAAGAACACTCCATAGACCTATGCAGCTCAAAATCTAATCTGCAAGATGAGGAACATGCAAATCAACAAGTTTTTATTAATGATGCCGTATTTCTCTGGAAGCACTGTTAAGAAGACTTGTGTCTCTTAAGTAACTACAAGGAGATTAATAATTTAAACAACAGCAAAAATGCCATTTAATATGCCAAATATGCTGTGATAGAGTGGAATATATCTGCATAAAATCAAATCTATTCAGCATGAAAGTTAAGTCTTTTTACTACTCAGTATGTTGAGGTAAGCACATTAACTTTGCCCAAACTATCTTTAGCAAAGGGTTCCACACAGCTCTTCTGCTTAGAATAGAAATTTAAGACATGTGAATGGAGTAGTATCAAGATTGCACATTTGACTATCAACTCTGAACCAATCAACTAGTAGATGGTTCACCCACAAGGGACTATGCTTGGGTTTTCCTCCTCTTATGTGGGTGTGGTGGGGACAGGGGAAGATAGAAGGCTGCAGTTTTCCTGAAAAGTTATGGAAAAAGAAGGAGACAATTAAAGAGGAATGCTGCTCTGAACCGAGAGTGACCACCACAAAACTGGGCAAATAGTGCTCCTGGGGTCATAAGTAACCTTCCATTTACTGGAGAGAGGGGAGACGACTTGAGGGTTATGCAATTCAGTTTATCTCTTTTTTTTTTCTTAAGACTTTTAATCCTCAAATACTTCCAGGAATAAAGAGATGATTGTTAAATTCCTTCATCAAGCTCTGTTTTGCGCTGTTCATAACATAGCGTTCCTGCTCGTAATCCCATTCCTATTGAAGGAATTAGAAGGACTACAGACTATATCGGAGGACTTAAGATACTAATCTTAGGATCCAAGGTCCTCCACTCTATGGTAGGGCACATAATGAAGTGTGAACTTGGGAATGTACTCTATGTTTCTAATGTAGAAACCATGACTAGTTAGACTACGTAACTGTGTCCAAACGCTGGTGAATACAAATCTATGTGGATCAGACTGTAAGTTCTTCTTCAAAGACAAACGGAAAGCAAATTAGAGTCAGAAACGGTTTAGTCAATTGAACATTACGTACTGTCATGATAACATAACCCAGGTTATATAATTAAATGGGGAACCAGCAGTCCAGTAGCTAGATTCATCTAATGAATCGCAACACAGACAGTGAGAAATGAATGATGAGTTGTGAAGAAACACAAACCATGAACTTTCATGATGAGTTTAAAACCAATTGATTTTACAGTCTGCAGTTAAAAGCTGCAGCCCAGCTCCAGAACCACAATGTACTCTGCAGCACTTGTGATTCTTTCTGGCATTATAGTCTGCCTGGATCTTACTGTGTCATCCCATTTGCTTCATGCTCCTGAAACTGAAACTTTTGAATAACTGTGCCTACCTCTAATACCACTGCATAGCCCCATTTGGGGTCAAGAAGGCAGAATGATTGAGGTAGAAGACTCCTTGCTCAAATCCCTTGTAAATCTGAAGTCTAAGTTACCTGCGGATCTCAAGCGTAGAGAGACAGAAGACAAAGAAATAACAGTTTCTGTGGATAATGTAACTGTTCCCTTTTTTTTTCCAGAATATATTGATATGGGTCCAACTGTAAGCACTTTACAAATCAGTGTAATACACATAATATTTCACAAATATGAGTAAGCAAGCTTGTAAATACCAGAAATTGAAATATGCTGGGAACTGGTTAGTGAACTTTTCTTCAGTTTACCATTTCTCTAGCAGAAGCAACCATTGGGGTTAAAAAAACCATTGGGGATAAAACCCTGAATGCTGGAGATGAGCCTAGGGGCAGCAGGCCAGTCTTAGAGGGGAGATCAGTAGCCCAGCTGAAGTGCATCTACACCAATGCACGCAGCATGGGCAACTAACAGGAAGAGCTGGAAGCCATGGTGCAGCAGGAAAGCTACGACATAGTTGCCATCACAGAAACATGGTGGGACTAGTCTCATGACTAGAGTGCTGTAATGAATGTCTATAAGCCCTTCAGAAGGGACAGGCAAGGAAAGAGAAGCGGTGGAGTGGCTTTATATATTAGGGAGTGTTTTGACTGCCTTGAACTTAACGATAGTGATGATAAGCTTGAGTGCCTTTGGAATAAGATCAGGGGGAAGGCCAGTAAGGCAGATATCCTGATGGGAGTCTGTTACAGACCACCCAACCAGGATGAAGAGGTGGATGAAGTGTTCTACAGGCGGCTAGCAGAAGTCTTGCAATCGCTGGCCCTTGTTCTCGTGGGGGACTTCAACTTACCAGATATCTGCTGGAAATACAACACAGCAGAAAGGAAACAGTCCAAGAGGTTCCTGGAGTGTGTGGAAGAGAACTTCCTCATGCAACTGGTAAGTGAGCCTACTAGGGGAGGTGCCCCGCTGGACCTGCTCTTTCTAAACAGACAAGGACCGGTGGGAGATGTGGTTGGAGGCCGTCTTGGGCATAGCGA